TTGTTATCATGAAAATTAGATTCAGCACCCATATCATGCAAATCATGCTCAGTATCATGCAAATGCTCCACCTCACTCAAGGTGGTGGAACTAACATGCTCAGAGGAATCAGAATCATGCATAACAATATCATCAGAAATAACAGGATCAACAGATAAAGGACTAGCAGCAACAGGTACAGACTCCACCTCACTAGGAGTACTATCAGACCTAGACTTAGGATTAGAAGCAGACTCGGTCAAGCAAGGAAAATCAGTTTCATTAAACACCACATTTCTGCTAAGGACCACTTTAAAGCCTACCTGGTTCCTATCCCATAACCTGTAACCCTTTACCCCCTCTGGATAACCTAGGAAGACACATTTCTTAGACCTAGGATCCAACTTGTCACCCTGTTGATGTGCATACGCTGCACAACCAAACACCCGAAGGTTAGACAGATCAAGAGGCTTACCGGTAAAGACGGCTTCAGGACACTTACCACCAAGAGGGACAGACGGGGACCTATTAACCAAATAGGCAGCAGTAGTGACTGCTTCACCCCAGAATTTCTTAGACAAACCAGAGGTAGCTAACATGCTTCTAACCTTATCCAACAGAGACCTATTCATTCTCTCTGCTATCCCATTCTGTTGGGGAGTATAAGGCACAGTTTTGTGCCTTTTTATCCCACAATCCACACACAGCTTATCCATCTCCTTATTACAGAACTCTAACCCGTTATCAGTCCTAAGGGTTTTAACCTTCCTGCCAGTTTGGTTTTCAACTAGGGTTTTCCACTCCCTAAACCTTACAAACACATCAGACTTGTGTTCTAAAAGGCAAACCCACACCTTCCTAGAGAAATCATCAATCAAAGAAAGGAAATATTTCCTACCCCCGTGGGTAGGAACACTGGCAGGACCCCAAACATCAGCATGAACATATTCAAGCACAGACGAACACTTAGACAGATTAGGGTAAGAGGAAGGAGGGAAGCTGACTCTATGCTGCTTGCCTAACACACATGATTCACAGAAAGGCACAGAAGTCACAGAGTCCTTACCAAAATAACCAGCCCTACGCATGACATCTAAACCCTTATTGCTCATATGTCCTAGCCTATTATGCTATAACGAGGTCTTATCAGAACATACAACATTCACAGACTCAGCAAAAGGTTTAGCATGACACACATAAAGGTTATTCACCTTCTCAGCTTTAAACAAAACAAGCGAGTTTTTCAGGATTTTCATACAACCATTCCCCCATTTTCCCTGCAACCCACTACTCTCCAAAGCAGCAACAGATAACAAGTTATGACACAAATCAGGGACATGCCTCACATTCTTAATGGTAAACACAGAGCCACAAGAAAACTTCAGACATATATCACCAACACCAAGCACATTGCATCTCTTATTATCAGCTAAGGAAACGTAGCCACTATCACATAATTCATAAGTAGAAAACAAATCTCTAAAGGGGGACATGTGATAGGTACAACCAGAGTCAATCAACCATTCATGCTCAGACAGGGAATTTCTCACAGAATTAACATGGTCACAAACCATTAAAATATCACCAAGGTCACATTTATCAACAGCTACACTAGCATGCTCGGTCTTCTTAGGGTGGGGGCAATCCTTAATGAAATGGCCAGCGTTACCACAATTGTAACACACTCTCTTCCTAGATTTGCTCCTCTTCCTCCCAGGCTGACTAGCGTTCTTACCCTGACTATTTTGCTTAGGATTCTTAGACCTACCCTTAGATCTACCCCTAACAAACATAGCCTCACCTGAGTCCCTGGACTGACTAGCACTACCCCTAGCATGCTTCAGGTCTAATTCCTTACTCCTTAACCCATTCACAACAATGTCTAGCGAAATCTCATCCCTACCATACTTAATAGCGGACTTAACATCATTATAAGAGTCGGGAATGGCATTAAGTAATACTATGGGAGTGTAATCATCTATGTGTTTATCACCTGCCTGTTTGATATTTTGTATCAGTTTATTAAACACATCCAGGTTCTCATCTATATCCTTAGTCAGGTCAAGCCTAAACCTAAAGAATTTCTCTAGTAAGAACAACTTCCCGGGCAAAGAGGTATCAGTATAGAGACTATCCAATTTCTCCCACAACTCCTTAGCAGACTCAAGAATACCCACTTTCCTAAGCACAGAATCAGAAAAATTCAGGTAAATAGTAGAACAAGCAGTTTCATTCATTTCAATTTGCTTAGCCTTATCTTCTGATTCAAGGAAAATACCAGTGACAGCTCTGAAAACTTTTTGCTGTATTAACACACACTTAATTTTCTGTTTCCAAATATCAAAATCTGTTTTTCCATTAAATGGAAGCATACCATACTGATTCGCAGCCATGGTATCAACCAAAAAAGGAACACAAAGCTAAACAGACTGAATTGACAGAAAATAATCCAACCCGGGTTATAAAGTATTCACTTTAATAACCCCGGGCAGCATGCAACACATAGCAAAAATGGACATAATGGCAATTAAACAATTCCGGGCAGAAAATTAAATTTAATTAATTCTACCCCTACCACCCAATAAACCACCCCCTACGCATAACAATTAAATTAAATAACACAAAGCAATTTAATTAATTAACTAAAACAAACTACCACAAAGGAGTGAGTTTAGAAAACGTACCTGGGGGGTTGGCGGCCGGGATTAAATCAACCGGAGGCCCGCGGGGAGGGGGAATAAATTAAATTAAATTAAAACCGGAATATTACAAATAGGAAGTTTAAAGAAAACTTACCTTCGCGAAACCCTAGGAGAGCGTTTCGACCTTACCTACCCAAATTAAAAAAAAAATTGGGATTTTTCTGAGAAGTTGACTGACTGTTGACCGGCGTTGACTGCCGTTGACCGGCTGTTGACCGGCGGTTGACCAGTGGTCCAGCCCAGCAGTCCAGGTCCAGTCCAGCAGCTCAAGCCAGCTGCCCAGCTGCCCAATCAGCAGCTCCAATGCTCCAAATCCGAGGCCCAAAGAAGAAAGGCCCAACAGCCCAGGGACCCAAATAAACAGTTCTAGCAGTCCAAGTCAGCATCCATCCAGCGGCTGCGTTTCTTCTACGCGAGGATGTGCAGTGCTGTTTGCGAACCAGCGAAGGACGAAGACCGGCGTGCACCCCGGTGACCGGCAGATCCAGCGACGACGGGCGAACAGCTCCTAGCGGCCTTCTGCGCAGGTGGTGGCTTTAATTGACGAGAGATGACCGGCGAGCACCCAGTCGGCCGGCGGCGAGCTTTCAGGAGGCGGCGATGGGGCTTCAACTTCGGACGATTTGCCAGCCCTCTGGCCAGCTCTCTGCTCCGGCGACGCGGCTCCTGCAACTATGATGGCGGAGCTCCCAGGTGACGTAACGGGGCTCACCGGCGACGACGGCGAAGCTTTAGATTCCGGCGAGGGTTTCAAGCTTCGGTCAGAGGAAGTCTATTTCAACCTCCGGGCAGCGAACGGCGAAGAACCAGGCCTTTAGGGAACTCCAGCAAGCTCCAATCGATGGCGGCGGCGGACGGCGGCGGCGGACGGCGGCAGACGGCGAACTCCGTCTCTGATACCACTGTAAGGATCGTATATCCGTCTCCGGCTCAGGTCTTTCTACACACTCTCACACACCACACGTAGGAGGAGGCTATTGCACACACATATTTTTATCTCCACTTAGACCTCTCTACACTCACACAAAGGAGGAAGAAGAAGTGAGCTCTGCTCTCTCACACAAAGGATATACTCACGCAGGCTGCTTCAACAAGGGAAGAAGCAAGGCTTCAAATAGGCTGCCAAGGGAGTTTACGGGTGAAGCTAGACAAAAGACAATCACATGTTACCAATACAAAGGAGAGTCACATGTATAGGCCAAGACAAAGTGATGCAGCGTACAGGAAGCAGAGAAGGGGCCAGCCAGTGGATTAAGTCAAACCACTCAAAATAGGTATGTTATTGATCAGATAAAATACCAAGGTAAAGGTACCAAAGTGGGAGTAAAACAATAGGGTGCAAGCCTCAACAAATAAAGTGGAAGGGAGGCATTGGTCGGGCCACCCGGTCCGAGTCCATCACTAAGTACGGAGTATATAATGCATGTCTAGACAAAACTGTGAATAGATGAAGTCATTGGCAAATTCAAAGGACATTAGCTTTTGATTAATTGAAATATTCATTTTGCTATTATTATTATATAATAATACGTAGTATAATAGACCTCCGCTTCACAATCAATGCACACTTTCTTTTTTTGGATTTGTCAAATAATATTTTGTTTATGGAGCTCTCGCTGAGTAACATACTACCACAAATTATTACTGTCACATACTCACATTCCATAGATGATCCCAGTATAATTATATGCCCACACGGCCACACGGTCACTGATGGCAAAATAGATCGCACAACCAATTAAAACAATGCAGGCGCCCGGATCTTATGTCAAATCAGATAACAATACCTCATTTGTAACATTTATTTATAAGTAAAATAGGCAAAACTAGTACATTTTTGTGTTAGTTTAGCCTATACTACGTACATATGTGGGTCAAAATGCTCTTCCGATCCCGCAATATGTTGTGCATCCTGTAAGGCTGTAACACCACACAGATTGCTGCTTGATGAATTACCATTATAAAATACCTTACCAAACAAGAAGCAAACAAAAAACGGATGAGTACAACAAATACATTCTATAGAACTGAATCAAACATAATCTTTCCAAATGAAATAAAATTACAGTGTAGAATGGAATTAACCCAGCAAACACAGGAAATATCAAGTTGTTTAGACCCCAGTAAGCAGAAAAAAAGGTACCGGTAAAAAAACCATTGGTTTGAACTGTATGCACGCAATGCTGATGAAGTGAAAAATGCTTGTCAACCTCATGGAGCCACAAGCTTTAACAGCATTTGTAGATGTATTTTGAGGTTGTTATTATACAACCATAAGAAAATTAATGGAACTCAACAAATTCTTAACATGTAATCCAGGGGACAGAAATTCAAAAGCATTAGCATATACTATACATGAAAATTTGCCAAGCAAGAGCAAGGAGTACAAGGTATTATTGGAAAGCCTAATCGCTAATCCTACTGCAAAGCATAGGGTGATTGAGATTGTGGATCATTCAAAGAAAAATATACTGTAACGAAGCATTAAATTTATAAGACTTCAACAATGCTAACTATCATGCTGTGCACAGAGATTGTAGTTTAGTAGAATGTTCTCCAATGGACAGATTTCCATATGTGCATGCCCATTCAATCTTCTTCTTCCTCCTCCCTCCCCCTCTTCCTCCCAGCATTATGTTCTGGTCTAGGAGATGCTACTTCTCTGGCATCGAATTCAGGAGCACTTTGTTCGGCTTGTGGATGCTGGTAGTTGGGCGGGCAGTCTGAAAGGTACCTTGCACAAAACCCAATCGCCCAACTGCAATTACAAGATAATGAATGTAGGCAAATGAGGAAAGGGCAATGGAAGTAAACACATCTATACTAATATAAAAAGGGAAACCAAGGCATAACCGTATGTGCTTACGTCACTTAGTTGTCATGATGATGTCATCAATTATAAATTTCAAGAGACGCATGTATTAATTTGAAAACGGATACATCATGTCGGTTAAGAGGCTCCCGGCGAGGCGAATTCATTCCCAAATCCGAAGTTACCCAAACAAAGATCGAATCTGCCGCTTCATAATTTCACGCCTCCCAGTGGTTACGTTTGAACTGGGGAAACCAGAAACTCTGGTGCGGCAAGCCTGATTTTATGGGCCAAATCTCCGCCGTTCACCGGATATTCAATACTCTGTCGTCAGAGATATTGCTTGAATTGGGAAGCATAGGTCGGAAAGTGATTCTGGGTTGCAGCGTCCCGGATCAGGTGAGGCAGTTCTGGGGTGGGTGATCTAAAAAATGGGCTGACGAATGGTGGCCGGGAATTACCGATCGAAGTAGAAGGATTGCCACTGTAAGGAAGAAAGCGCTGGGTAATTTCCAGGCGACGACGGTTCAGATGAAGGACGCGATTTTGCGAGGAACGGTTGCTGCCGGGTACGATGACTGACCCAGATACTATTTCGGCAATGGGTCCATCTGAAATCACCAGGCCGTGGAACTTGCACACTCGCAGATCGGGGAGTAAGCAGCCGAACGGGTCCGCCACCGCTTTCGACGAATCGAATTCGGGTTTGATGATTGACATTACGAAGCCGCCATTGCCCATTCACAATCGAACACAAATCTCCTAGAGTCCGGTACTCCAGTGTAACTCCGCCACCGCATCCATTGTTGACTTCATCGCTTCCTTAACCGTACCACCGCTGCCGCCCTCTGTGAGTGGTGGTTACCTGCAGTGGTTCCTCAACATTCCTCTGTGGATACCTACAGTCGACCTGCCACCAGTGGCGGATCCAGGAAACAGAAGTGTTGGGGGCAGAACAAAGAGAGAAAATGTTAAGAGATCTAATATATATAGTTTTATTTTTGACAGTTCCAAATAGATCTTATTCCAATGTTGAAGATGGTGTTTTTCTAAAAAAATGTCCATAAAATCTGATAAAATAACTTAATTAGCTTATGGGAAATTACCTTAAATAGGGCTTAAAATGTTTGTATATTTCAAAATATGACTATCATGTTTTTAATAAAAACATGACAATGTCATTAATGTCATTTTTTAGCAGTAGCAGAATTTAAACATGACAATGTTTTCCAAACTTGACAGTAATTATCCTATTTAGAGAATAAAAAGTTGACAGTCCTATTTTGGAATTTCCAAACGATTTTAGTCCTATTTCGGGAATTTTCCCTTAAGTTTTTGATAACTAATGTTCTCTTTTGTCTTTTTATCAAGTGAATATTGATGAACTTTCAATATCTCTCCTCCTACTAGTTTTAATAGTTTACCACAAATACACAATAACACGAGAAAACCCTAAATAGGACTAAAACAATGACAAAATTCACAAACAAGACTATCATTATTGTATCCCAAAATATGACTCATTCAGTTCTGTTTTAGAAATTAAGCTGTAATCAACTTACTACCCCCGTCCCATAATGCTTGTCTCATTTCAATTTGGCATGGTAACACTTTAACACATACGTAGTAAAAATTATACAAAAAATCAATAATCAATAATCAAATGCTTAACTTAATTACTCATCTACTACGTAGTTATTTAGTTAATACTCCGTACTTAATGGAGTTGAAAGAAAACGTGAGTAACCTGCACTATTGCTTTGCCGAGGAGCTGAAGTACAATTTAGAATGCGAGTTAATACTCATATTTAATGCACGATTTAGAATTCCCTGTTTTAGCTGTTAACGAAAGTTGAAGTCTACGAAGTAATTTTGCCATTGAGTTACGGAGTATTTTATTTTTAGAGCTGGGTGGATTAGATACATGGGGGCTGGGGGCATTGAGTTATTTTTATTGGGGGCAATTAAGTGGGCTAAAATTTTTCCTAATATAATATATGGAGTTATGGAGAGTTTATTGGGGGCAGCTGCCCCCCTTATCAATAGTGTGCATCCGCCCCTGCCTGCCACCCTCGGTGAGTTATAACTCTTATTCTATTTTAATTCATCATGCACTACGTCTTCAACATAAAACTGCATAGATCATCAATTATGCATAACCGCTACTCCCACGTACTATTGGTTTAGTTATATGCAAAAGACCCACCAACTTGAACATAACCACGACTTAATTGAAATAAATAACACACATGTTAGCTAATCCTAGCATAGACACAATCATCTAAAACGATGTGTTTGTGTGTGCAAGTATATAATTGTATTGTATGGGCCAGGTAGTATTTACTTAATTTAAATAGTATGTGAGGTTAGTTTAGAAATGCTTTAAATAAAAATCTAGATCATTTTAACTTTGTACAATTAGATCTATTTTAGATAAACAAATGCACTTTTAGCCATGCATATGATTTAACACCTCACAAATATCTAATAGGAGAATGAGAAAAAATTAATGAAGACAAACTATTTTAAAAATAAATTTGAAAAAATTCTATATTATTCAGGTCCTATTATCAAAAACTTATTGGGAGCATTCACTCACGAAAAGGTATATCTGCCCCTGAGGAAGCGGCAATGAGGAAGCGGTCCAGCCAAGATGATCACCAACTCACTCTCCTTTATGGGAGGTCCGGGTTCAATTTTCAATGGAGTGAGATTGATCCCAGTTTACCCCAGGCCCCCCAAACCCCCTCCCCCGACGCCCCCTGGGGTTAAAAAAATTACTAAACGTCAACAATAAGAAATGCTAATAAGCTAAGCAAAACTAATATAATGAAATTTTATAGTCGATCTATGATATAAATGTTGTTGTAGCATGTATATGTTTCAATTTCCCATAAAGGTAAATATAATTCACGTTATCTATATCTAAATCTATATCTATATATTATACATTTAAAGGACACATTGCCATGTGTCATTCTAACATTTATCATTACCATGTGTCAATTTTTTATCCATTCTTAGCCACCTCGGACTGTTTTCAATAGTGTATTTCTCATTTATTTTCATGTCCTAAGTTTGGAAAGTATATTATTATTACTCATAATAATTACTCCGTATTACTTATAACCAAAATTACTCCATATAAGGCAATGATTGCTTAAGGATTGCATGATGGTCTCCATTTTTAATACTTAAGAAAATGATTGCCTCAATGATTGCCAAAGTTACTCCATATTTTGACTCCATACTTTTCATACATAGATTATTATAATAATTACTCCGTATTAATGTTCATATATATATTTAGAAAGTTGATCTAACTTACATGAGTCACTATGTACTCCATAGGTTCCGTTTTAATATAAGTAGTATATATAATCTAAATCTAAATATTATATATTATAATTAATATATACATAAGTGATCACTACGTGTAATATATTATAAATTTATAATTTTGAAAACTTAGGTAAATTACATATACGGTGCACTATTGACCTCCAACAACTTAATTTTATAAATCTTTTTAATATGCTTTTACTTTTTATGTTTTATACCTTTTTACATTTTCACTTTATTTTTCAGTTTTTTATATTTCTTTTTTATTTTAATTTTAGGTATAAGATTAGACGGCTAACAATTGAGCGACAGAATTTCTACTCATGCTCATATGTAGTGATTTTAGGTATAAGAAAATATGCTTGCTAATAATTTAGCGGACGAAATATCGCTATCATATGTAGCGGTTTTAGATATTAGAAAATAAGTTTGCTAACCATTGAGCAGGGGAATTGAGTGACATAATTTTCTCTCCTCACATGTAATGCTTTTAGGTATTAGAAATAAGCTTGCTAGCAATTGAGCGGGATAATTTTCGCTCTCACATGTATTGCTTTTAGTTATAAGATAAGTCGACTAACAATTGAGCGGGAAAATTTTCCCTCCCATATGTAGTGATTTTAGGTAGAAGAAGATAAACAAGCTAACAATTGAGAGGTAGAATTCTCTTTTTCATATGTATTGCTTTTCAAGTGACTTGAGCAGAGAAGATGAGCGGGATAATTTTCTCTCTCATATGTAGTTCTTTTAGGTATTAGAAGATAAACTTGATAACAATTGAGCTTGATAATTTTCTCTCTCATATGTAGTGATCTTAGCCTCTTAGGTATAAGATAATACGGCTAACAATTGAGCGAAATAATTTTCTCTATCACATGTAGTGGTTTTACTGTTTTAGGTATAAGAAGATAAGAAAATAAGCTTTCTAACAATTGAGTGACAAAAATTTCTTTCTCATATGCAGTATCTTTTAAGTATATATATATATATATATATATATATATATATATATATATATATATATAATATGATAATTCGGCTAACAATTGTGCAAAAAAAAAATCTTTCTCATAGGTAGTTATAAGATAAATTGGCTAACAATTCAACGGAAGAATTTTGTCTCACATATGTAGTGTTTAAGGTATAAGAAGAATTTCTTAATAGTTGAGGGAAAAAATTTATCTCTCATGTGTAGTGCTTTTAGGTATTACATTACATCAGATAGAAGATAAGTTTGCTTACAATTATTTAAGAAAACAAAAAAGCTTGCTTACAATTTAGCGGAGAACTTTCTCTCACATATGTAGTTCGTTTATGTATAAGATAAGTCGGCCAACAATTAAGCGGTAGAATTATCTCTCTTACGTAATGCTTTTAGGTAAAAGATAATTTGGCTAACAATTGAGCAATGAAATTTTCTCTCATATGCACTTCTTTAAAGTATAAAGTAAACTGGCTAATAATTGAGTAGGACATGCAATTTTCTCTCTCATAGGTTAACAATAACTTAACTAATGATTACTACCTCCGTCCCCCTAAGTTTGGGACAAGAGAAAGTGGCACGGTTATTAATAAAAGTGGTTTTATGTGGTTGATATTGAATTGATAAAGTAAGAATAAAGTAGGAATGATTTAGAACCACCCAAATTTACCAAATAAGGTATGAGACAATCTTTGTGGGACGGACCGAAATGGTAAAATGGGACAATCATAGCGGGACGGAGGGAGTAGCATGTTCTTATTTAACTAATATTTGTAATTTTTAAAATTTACTGTATCCACTTAAACTCATTCACTTATTATACTCACTTTATTAGAATAATATTTAATATTAAAATTAAATAACCATTGAAATTAGTAGGTAAAAAATTCGAAAAAGTAATTTTTATTTGTTGTATGGCTTATACTTTACTCCGTATGATATTAGCTAGCTTATTGTACTCTTATTTTTCGAAAATGAAGAATCCTAAAAAGTTAGTTTATTATAATATTTAATTAGATCATAAGTAAAAATATATGCATCATTTGCTATTTCCCGTGCATATGCACGGGTAGTATACTAGCATTGTTATAAACAAAGAATCGCTCTTTATACTGAATTTAAGAAAAATTCTTAGATTAATACGTGTGGTTAAGATGTATTTTGAGTTTAAGTACATTTACTTTATCAATATTTCATAATAGTTATGATCAGCCGTGCAGTTGTGACAGTTGTACATTATAAGGTATTTGAAAATTGTAGATAACAATCACAATATAGGATATGTTTTTTCCAAAAAAAAAAATTCATCCACAATTTTTATGACAAAATAAGCGTGTTTATATGTCAAAAATTTATATTAATGAACTTATCCTTAATTTGCAAGTTTTATTCTCCCGTGCATGGCACGGGTAGAATACTAGTATATAATGAAAACAAAGAAAGAGGGGATAAAGTAAAGAGCACCCTTTGATGGGGATCAAATGGTCTGAATACGTCGTATTTCCTGCCCCAAAGAGAATACATGAAATATTCACGGTCCGGCCCATACTCCGCTGCAAACCGATAGCAATAACTAAATCATCAGCAGCAGCAACTTAGTCGATCTATTAGGGTTGGGGGAAATGAAGAAACTTATGAGTTAATTAACGTACTGGTGAGCGAATCGGGAACGATCTCGTATATATTCTTCAACCTGTTTGGGAAGAGGTCTTCTTCGACAAAGTTTATACTGTCGGGTAAAGGTCTGTCTGGAAGACAGTTTTCCATGGACCAGAACCAATCCCTGATAAACCTGAAATCTTTATACCACCAATCTGTGGGGGGATTCAAGTAATGAGGAATGTCTGCCATTGTTCCTCACTGGGAATTCAGGTTTGGAGTAGATATCTCACACAGGCACTCACATTGTTCCTCCTGATTTTCTATTAGAAAAAAAAAAAGATTTTGAATGTAAAAATGTCCTGATTTTCTAATTATTACTCCATATAGATTTGAGGCTAGTTTGGTAGTTTACATATAAAAGTTTTTTAATGTAGCTATACAGGAAATCAATCATTTTGAATGTAAAATTGATTACCTGTTTGTTTAGATGTATAATTTATTTTTAAATTACATGCAAAATCGTTGCAGTGCTTCATGAAAGCCATGCAACGTATTTTATCACCGTACTTTACATGGTACGCTGTAAAATGTTTATAAAAAGTGTTCTACAGTTTACATTAAATAATCAAATCAAACAGTGTAAACATTTTGCGTTCTTACACTTCACATACAAAGTAATTATTTTACGCCCTACCAATGCAAATGCTCTTAGCTTGGATCGTAGGTTCTCTCCCCACTTCAATTGTTGAGGCGAACTTCCCCTCCCCTGCTCAGGCTCCATTCAACGTAACTACTATCCGGATGTAAAGCGGACCCAAGTCGAGCGTAACTTAATTTTTTTTTAATTTTTTAGTATAAATCTTTACATTTTTCATATTCAATCCACCCCGTTAATGTTTAAATCTACTATAATTGCTACACGGCCCAGTGCATCTTAGATTTTGGGATCTTCTCCGGCTCCATTGATTTTATATTCATAATAATAGGAGTTTTTTCCAATAATGTGACTATGGAGCTATACACGGGGCTTTGATCGTAGTCTAACTGAAAGCAATAAATGAGGGGAAAAATTGATAGGAATAATCCCAACTATTGGTGGTCCGCCCATAATAATCCCAACTATCGATTATTTTAGAATAATCCCTACTTTAGGGACCTTCCGCCAATAGTGGTCCATATAAATAAATTCATGTAGTTTCTAAAGTGGATGAGGAGTGATATAGCAAGTAATCCCTATAAATAATCTCAACTTTTAATTTTTACACTTAATTTCTATTTAAAATTCACTTTTTATAGGAGGTAATATATGACCATGGACCATTATTGGCGGACGATCCATATAGTTGGGATTATACAAAAATAATCAATAGTTGGGATTATTATCAGCGGACCGGCAATAGTTGGGATTATTATTTTCAATTTTTCCTAAATGAGGTGTAATTTTGTTATATACGGAGTATTTTTTTGCGTCTTCAAAACAAAGCATATGCCAACTTATGAAATTGATTTTTGAGGACTACGAACAAGGTGAAGTTGCAAAGTAAGAGCATCTTCAATGCTAAAACGTTAACGTTAACGGTGTATACATGGCATGAGAAATAACCAATTAAAAAACAATACATAGAATAGCTCTCTCCTTATTTGAAGGATCTTGCATCATTTTGGTAAGTTTTTCTTCACAATGTCAAGCACAATGTCTAGATGTAGACATTGTGGTTGACATTGCAGAGAAAAATTTACCAAAAACATATAAGACCGTGAAAAGAAGGAGAGAAAAATGTCATAAAATCAATATTTTGTGTCTATATTTATCATGCCACATGTGCACCGTGCACATTGTGGCATTGAAGATGCTCTGAGAGGGTGAAAAAGTTACTTAAACCGATCTAGGGAGACGAGTTATATTTTGGTCTCGTTACGGTTGGATTTGAAATGAAAAATGAAATCGTTTTGTTCTACGAAAGAGTGTGGATCGATGAAAAGTTTGGGCTCAGGAACAAGTTGTCATTTGCATCGACCAGTTTTCAGTTTAAAACTTGATGAAATAGTCACTGATATAGTGAATATGGTACTAAGGCCATCTTCAACACCAAAATGGTGTATTTGGCAAAAAAATGTTCCAACAATGACACCAAACTTTACACCATTACACCAAAATGGGGGGGATGGCTTTACGCCATATATGTCGTACACCATTTGTGGCACCATTCTCTTTTTGTAATTTTTTTTCTTTCAAATGTGACCCAAAGTTTTGATTATTATAGTTTTGACCCATTCTTAAAACAACAAATTAGGATGTTTTACTTGGACTGAAATTTGTTGGTCCGGTCTGGTCGAATCTGGTCTGGTCTGAATTGATGTGGTCTGGTCTGATTTCTTTGTATTTTTATAACTACCCAAGTTTGGTCTAGTCTGGTCTGATCTGATCTGATCTGAAATAAATTACAGTCCAAGTAAAAACATTCTTATACAACAACGAAATGGTGTGAAATGTCAAAATATTAAATGAGGGGCTAATGTATAAATATAAGATAGTTAGATACTTAAATAGAATAATGGTAAAAAGTTAGTAAAAATAATAAAAAGAGAATATTCCTTTTTGGTGATGAAAATGGTGTAAATTGTTGGATGATATTGGACTTCGCACCCTATTTTAAAAAAAAAATGTTATCTTTTTGCCCCATCATAAACATTTTGTGAAGAAAAATTCCGAATGAGGTGCAATCTTAGGAGTGTTTGCAACTGCTTAAAAAAGCACTTCTCGGTTTTTTGCGTAAAAACACTTTTTTTTACCAAAACCACCAACTTTTACTTTTCCCGACTTTCGTGTGAAAGTGTTTTTTATTTTTTTATTACACAAAAAGCACTTATTTTATCAAACATTACCAACTTTTACTTTTCAAAATCACTTTTATCTCAAACACTATCAACTTTTACTACTAATTACTTTTCCAAAAACATTCCAAAAGTGCTTTTTAAGCAGAAGCTGTTGCAAACACTCCCTTAAAGGACTTAGAAATGGGGTGTAAAGTCAAAATTTTTAAAAATGGGGTGCAAAGTCCAATATCACCCAAAAAGTGAGGTGCAAAGTCAAATTCTCTCATATAAAAATTGAACATAAGTTACTATATGGTTACATTATTAGTCTAGTCATTAGTCACATTATTGTAAATGATCATCATTTTAGTCATTAATACTTTATGTGATTATTTCATTAATTAAAGTCATAAATCTTTAAGCTTTTATTATACGGAGTATACAACGTCGTAGTATTTCCTCCGTCCGACTTAGATCATCCTTTTCTATTAATCTCATTAAGATTGTCTCATACCAAATTTGATACTTCCTTCGTCCTAGAATTAACTTCAGTTTTGACTGGAGACGAAGATTAAGAAAGAGAGAAATGTGTAGTGGAGAGGTGTGCAGAGGAGAGAGAAATGTGTAAGAATGGTTGTGAACCACAAATCCTTTGCTAAAAAGGGAAAGAGGAGATAAATTTGGGACAGACCAAAAAGGAAAGAATGAAGATGATTATGGGACGGAGGGAGTAAAATTTTTGTGGTTCTCAATCAATCTTACTTAATTCTTACTTTATCAATTCAATATCAACAAATAAATAATTTTTTCTTAATGAACACATCATCTCCTCGTGTCTCAATCTTACTACGAGGGAGGTAGTACATAATAAAACCTTAATGGTTTATGCCTTTATGGCTTTAATTAATCATTAATTATTTCTCGGCATTTGTTTGGAGGACCAATGAATTAGTATTTGAATGCCTAGTTTTTTTTAGTTTTTTTTAAAACATTTGAATGCGTAGTTAGTTAGACTATTTTACGAAATAAGCTCGAAATGTTAGGTTATACTGCCTCTCTTTCAATTAAATTCTATTTTTTTCTTCTGAAATGTCCTAAATTTAGGTTTCCAAATCTCTTATTTGTAGTATTTGAAATTTCTCATTGCAATACCTTTTTAATAAATAAAAAAGTGTAACAGGGAAAGAGGTTTTTTATAATTATTACTAAATAGAAGTTAAAAGACAGAAAACATGACTTTAAAACTATTTTCCCAAAATGTGACTACTATATGATACATGTGGGTTTACAAAGAAAATCCACCATGTTGAGATGGAAATTATCAACCGTTTCATGCTAAAAAACATGAACATTTAATGGATAGCATGATGTGCAACTTAAAGTGTAAAAGTGCATGTGATATGAGGAGAGTTTCAATTATCTTAATATCATTTGTAGTGGTCAAGAGTCCAAATTGTTAAATTTGGACTCCGTTCATATGAAAACGGTGTTTAGACTCTGCCAATACTGTTTTCCCCTGCACTCGTGCACCGTCAATAAAATACACTCTACATATTTTTTACATATCAATTTAGTAAAATATTAACTAAATTATTATAACTGATGTTTTACTTTTATTTTTCTCTCTAAATAATTATGAAATAAAAAATACACATTTCGATGTAAAAATAAGTAAATTCCATTATTTTTTTTAATGTTTTTCAGATAACAAAAAATGAACTTAGTTCAAGTAAAGTTCGATTATGGAATATCAAGTTACTTTTGAAGGCTCCATAAATCATAATTTTGTGTTTCGTGTTTTTGGGCTCAAGAAAACTTCAAACAGCTAAAATTTTAGATTTTAGTTTTCCATAAATCATAATGTTGGTTTCATATGAAAGATCTTAAAAATTCATAAATATTGATATAGTTTTTGAAACGATTGGTGAAGAAATACAAAACTTATGGAAGTTTGAAACAATTTGGGGTAATAATGACATCACCATGAAGGAAGTCTCCCTTCTTTGCAGCAGCTTACGAAGCCTTGCAGGCAGCCCCTCCCCCACTTTCTTTTTTTGAACTCTGTCAACCCAAGCATCTACTTATACACTCATTCACTCTTCTTTCGACTTTTACTCCCTCTTTTAATCTTCCACTACATTCAATTAAGAGTTTAAAAGTTCCATTTTTAATCTTTTGACTCCTAATCCTTAACTACTACAAATGGTCTAACAATTTATGTCGTGAACCGTCAAATCAACAATGATTGAAAGATCAAACTGTATTTTTTGGATGACAAAGAGGACCGGGTTGAAAGGAGAGAGAGGTGCAGTGACCAATACCGTACCGTTAAGTGATACTAGTAGTCAATTAGTCACTATGAGTGATAATAAATAGTGACTAAATGAGTAATGGATTAATAATATATTACTCCCTCCTTCACAAAATGATAGTCATGTATTTCCTTTTTGAGATTCCCAAAATGATGGTCATGTTTCCCTTTTTGGAAAGAAAGACGTGGTCCACATCATTTCACCATTTTCTACTCAAATCTCAACCACAATTTTTACCCTTTTAACCACTATTAAATTTTGTGCCCAAAAGAAATGAGACTATCAAATTGGGACGGAGAGAAATTATTATTGAATTTCTAATAGCTAATAGTTACTGAATGAGTACATTGGTAGTAACTAGTAATTGAATATATACTACATAGTTCGTATGTACATTAGTAGTGACGACCCTAAAAAATTACGTAGTATATTTTTATGAACCTTATTGGTGTACTATATAGTTACAAGAATAATAGAACATGGTCAATATTGAGTTGTAACTAAAAGAAGTAGAACATGATAAGTTATTATTGGTTACTGAATACAAGATAAGGAACTTGGTCGTTGAATTGGGGTTTTTTTGTCATTTTTTTCTAACCTATTATAGTATATGGTTCTGTTAAGGTCAACATCTTTGAATTGGGATGAGATTCGAACATGTTACCTCCTCTTTGGAAGTGTCACAGTGATATCATCATATCACAAGTTACTTGAATTGGTTAATAACTATAATTTGAAAAGGAATATATATACAAAAAAGTTACTACAAATATTTTTTTAAGGTGTGATTCCTAGAGAGAAAGCTTCTAATGTCATCCAACAAACGGAGAATTTCTTATGCAAATGAAGGAGATGAAGCTTGTAGTTTCATTGTAGGAGAGGGTGAAGAAAGAAATACATAACATAACATTACGTATTGAGACGTATTGAGAAAGAAAGAGATGGTTAAAATGAAGGAATTACCCCTATGACAAATGAAAAGCCTATTATTATACGGAGTAGTACTTCGTAATATACAAGCCATTTTTCAAAGGGAAATCCACCACTGTGAAATCTACTTTCCTATTAACACTGAAAATTACGATAGTATATCAAAAGATAATTTTGGGTATAGAAACCATCTTATAATACAATTTGTTAATAAATTAATAAATAAAATAATCAAAGTAGAGTGGTTAAAAGAGAAATTGCAACAAGTGGACTAACATGAAAATAATATCATTCTACACTTCAAAACGATTTTCTACAATAGACGAAGTTTACTGTTTACGTCATTACGTGTGAGAATGAGAACCCTACAACTCATAATCGATTGAGTAATAAAAAAACCAAATCAGTATCCGATTTTAAGGTTTGAAATCAGAAATGATAGTCAAAAGTCAAAATTGATATAAACCGATTTTGGATTCTCCAAAAGAAGTCCGGACTCGAGATGCGCTTTTTATATAAGCTAAAACAGTGTTTGCGGTTGTTTAAAAAAAGCGCTTTTCAGTTTTGGCTTTAAAAAAGTTAAAAAGAGTGTTTTCAAATGACAGCTTCTGCTTAAATTAATCACTTAAAAGTTAAAAGCTGGAAGCAGGTGGAAGGGTGCTTTAAACTGCTTTTCACTTTTTTTACTAGACAAAAAGTACTTATTTTACCAAACATTACCAACTTTTACTTTTTCAGAATCACTTTTTTCTCAAACACTACCAACTTTTACTATTAATCACTTTTCCCAAAATCACTTTAAAAAATCATTTTTTTAAAGTTGAAGCAATTACAAACACTCTCTTAGGGATTGTTTGTAATTGGAGTTGGGGCCGTTGGATTGGGATCCTCTGCCCGATTAGGAGGGTGCCTTGCGCATTGGAGGGTCGGGCAGCGGCGAGGATGGCATCGAGATCAGCGCAAGTGTGGACTCCAAGATCTACGGCCGTTAAATTGCCGATCAGACGGCTATCCGGAAGCAAGACACTCTACCTTGCTTCCGGAAGCAAGACACTCTACCTTGCTCTAAAGCAAGGTAGAGGCTCCGGATTCGGGCCCATTGGCCTATACCTGAATATCTAGTGCTGTTTAGAGGCCTAGAGGGAACTCAACCTTTGAATCAAAAACTGGGTTGTGTCTACCCTACCTAGGGTATCTTGGTAATTGGTGTTGGATCATTGGATTCATTGGCCATCAAATTCAGATACCCGTTTATGAGCCATGCTACTATTTTTTGAAGAAATGAATTGTGCTACTCATAGACATTATTTGTACACATTTTGACACATTATTTGTACACATTTTGTGCCCACACACCTGTGTACACATGCAACTAGGGGGTGAGTACAAAAAATATATATGTACATATAATGTGTACAAACAACTTTTTCCCCGTTTAGATTGTTAAATTATTTACAATATTATACAATAGCATTATATACATATATGTGTGTGTATGTGTATATACAGTGAGTGCTAAACTGAGAAAGGTAAAATTTTCATATATCGACATAATAAATTATGTAGATGTAGATAATGGACATAAAAATTATGATATATATGGACATAATACTGATACATACTACACAGTGCTACAAAACTGCCTTCTACGGAGTAACAAATAAGAAAAACAAGTTTAAAAATATATGTTCTATTTATTACATTATACCAATGAACAGAACCTTCTATGAAGAAAATGAAAAAAAAAAACTATCAGTGTCACTATGAAATAAATTATACACTCAGTTCCTGAACTTGATACGATGAGGCACGTCCAGATGAACTTTTCAGTGTTTTGTATAAAAAAATCTATCATAGATGTACGTATATCCCTTTCGCCTTTGTAACATATGCTTTAGTGATGGTATTTTTGGATGAGAACCAACCACTTAAGGATCCAAACAAGTCAGGCAATCGGAAGAAAATCCAAGAAAAAGAGATTAATGGATTGTAAGGGCCAATTGCAGCTTACCAATTAAGCTGGATGAGTCTGGCAGGGTTTTTGTATATAGTGACTGACTGACTGTTGCAGTATTATCAGCTGCTAACACAACATGTGCAATGCTGTATATATAGTTCACCCTTTTCAACTTAACTGCAAATTGCCACTCCCTAATGGATATGCTGAACCAATCCTTTCTCACATATTTGGTTGACTTCACTTCTATGTATTCTTTATCTCCCACTACAAGATCATAAGGCAATCCGGACTCCATTGTTTCATTAACCCATTTCACAAATCCGGATTTCAGAATCTTGTACACCCACCACCCCAGGTGCACTTGGTGTTGAATAACTCCCTCAAAGTTGATATCTACTGGCTTTTCGAGATGCCTCATGACTTCTGCCACCTCATCCTCCTTAAGCGTGTGCAAACCACTGATGTCCTTGATTGGTTTATATTTAGGTGCACCAGTAGTAGGAAAACCAGGTGCAGTTTTCCAGTCTGCAGGTGGCCAATTAGAACTTATTCCCGGTCTCCTTTTGAACTTGACTGGATTTGGCTCCTCAGTGGTTCCCGATTCAAAGTTGGTCATCAATGCATTTCCCATTGAAAATGCACTCTCTGAAAGGGACCAAACATGTTCTCCTTCTAGGAGTTTTGGTATTTTCTGGCTGTTTATGATGAAGAATTCAGTTTGATCTTCAGTTGAGCCTGATTCCGATTGAAGTTTTAGCTGAAATTTGGTATGAGCAAACTAGACTTGATGAATAAGATGCTAAAAAAATTTCATCAAAAAATTACACCGGGAACCATCCCAAATGACGACGGCCGGACAGAACTTCCTAAATAAGGGCTTATTTGACCTTTTTTGGTCAGTACATGGGCCTATTTGCACCTTTTCCCTAAAGAAAAATAAAGAAATCAGATGTTTCATTAAGGGCAAATCTGTCCAGATTTTATGTTTTACTCCTACGAAACTATCAACTCCTATTCTTGCACACTTGTAATGTTTTACTCCTACTTGGGTAATTAATGAGTTAATTCCTCAAATAGGACTAAAAGATGATCCATATGCACAAATAGGACTAGTTGGGCAAATAATGAGTTAATTCAAACTTGTTTTAGTCTTATATGGGACAATTACTAATTAATCTTTTACGGAGTATATTCTATTTAGCAAATTTGCAGGTGATAAATGAATGTCGTTAGTAGGTAGCAAAAAAACGAATGCAGTTAGTTTTTATTTAGATGCAGATTTGCCTTGTGTCGTTGTGCATCGTCTACATAGAATCATGGATTCATGGGCAAATTATATCCTACAACCGGCTGTACCTTGAGCATGGTATAGCCGGGTATTTTTGTAATATATTGGTGTTGGCAGCCGTTGTTGTTACAGGAGAAGGGAACGGTGAAAGAGCCGAGTCGGTCGTTTCCTGCTGTGGATCAAATTTTGCTACGCCTGGAACTCCGAAGAGCTCTACACCGCCATCCATTCTGATTACTTTTTCTTTTTTCTTTTTGCTTTGTGCACAACCGTCATCTAGTTTTGTCTTTTTGCTTTGACTTTTTCTTTACTTTTACCTAGCTAGTTGATTTTACTTTATTTTGTTTAGTCTTTTTATTTACTTCTTTTCGTTTGTTTATTTGTTGATTACTTTTTTTATATTATACCAAGCACATTAGAAATGAATTCTACCTTAAAATCAAATGAGTAAAACGCCTAAAAAATGAACATACACAAATGAGCTTTTGAATTTTTGAATACTCATTTTGTAAATTATGTATGTTCATTAAGTATCTCTGCTATGCTCATTTTTAAAATGTTTTAGCAATGCACATTTCAAAAATCCCATATTACATTAGATTTATATAAGAGTTGATTATAGACACGAGACCACAAATCATGATACTCAAACGCAGAATCTAATACTCAATAACGGGGATTTGATGCTCGCCGAAAATATAGGAGTTTTGATGTTGAATGAAAATGTTGTGATGTTCAACTAGCAAAGCAACTAACAAATTCATTAGGGTCCTGCTTGGGGTACCCCAATTTGTACCCCAATCTGTACACCGTCTGTGTACACAGACATTTGGACAGAAAGTGCTGCCCTCTTTCAAACGAATTGCCTGTGTACACAGGCAATTCAGGGGGTGGGTACAAAATGAGGTACATTTTGGGGTACCTATAGAATTTTTGAATTCATTAATACTCATGTTGTAAGTTACATATGCTCATCTGATACTGATCTTATGCTCATTTTCTAAATTTCATATCAATGCATTTTTAAAAAGTATTATTTTATGATAGACTCTTAATACTCAACATAATAGGTTCGATGCTCATTAAAAGTTCATTAATGCTCATTCACAAGAAACTATGATTTTCATCTCAATAGCAGATGTTTGATGCTCAATTAAAATGTCGTGATGTTCAACTAACAAACCTTACGATAAAAAATAACAAAAAGAAAGTGAATTACAAATTATGCAACAGAGATCACGATTCTGAATATTAGACTCCTAATACAGTAATACTCAACAGAGTAGGTAAGTTGCTCATTAAAGGTTCAATATTACTCATTCTCCAGAAGTCGTGACTTTGATCTCAATAGTGGAGGTTTGATACTCAATTAAAATGTCATGATGTTCAACTAACAAACTTTACGATTTTCATATCAATGTGCCCTTTCTAAGTTATGTATGCTCATTTGATACTGATGATATGCTCATTTTTTAAATGTCATATCAATGCATATTTCAAAAGTATCGTATTACATTAGAATCACATATTTAAATTAACAGGAGTAGATAATAGATATAATTTAATTAGTTTTTATAAAAGAAAATAATAGAAAAAGAAAAAATAGAAGATATGAAGCAGAAATTGTTATACTCATTGTTAACCTCTTAATGCTCAATCAAATAGGCTAGATGCTCACCAAAATTACAATATTGCTCATTTAGCGTAAGCCGTGATTTTTCACTTAAATTACAAAAGTGCCACCGAAAAAAAAAAATGATCTGTACTGCTTATTGGGTTGTCTTCCTAATTGGGCCGGATGTATATACATCCGGTTGTACCATATAGGCTCTCGGATTCATGGATGTAGTTTACGAGTAGCTTTTGTTTAGTCTATTATATTTTCTCTTTTGTTTAGCAAATTTGCATATGATATTACTTCCCAAAGTTGATAAATGAAATAATTTTTTTTTAAAACCGGGTCAATTATGGTTAAAACCGGACCGGACCGGAAAATTCAGGTTCGGGTCGGTCTGGACCGGTTAGTATCCGGTCCGGTCTTCGGTCCTTATAAAATTGAGATTCCGGTTCCGGTCCAAACCGGGTGTTTTTTCCTGCAATGTCAAATCTAGACGGTCCCCTTGACATTGTGGAGAAAAACTTACCAAAACTGAAAAAAATCATTCAAATAAGGAGAGAAATGATTTATTTTCTAGTATTTATGTGGTAATCACTCATGTCATATGTGCACCATGCATATTCTACCATTGAAGATGCTCTAAGTAGAGCAAACTTAAAGTCTCCAATAATAAAACAGATTTAACATGGACAAGAGTAAGCAACAACATAAAAAAAACCTCAAATGGGAACATATATATTTGTTTGAAGTTACCAATAATTAGTAGATTACACATTATGTGGTGCACGAACATGCTTCAGCGAGCAACACAATATGTGCAAAAGGGATAACATTGCACATTTGCACATGCAAAACATCTATAATTGTATTAAAAAGTAAAGGGATATATCGTGATCTACTTTCTAATCAATTATAGTCATAAGTTTTCAGTTATAACAAAAGAATATACAGAACGCCTAAATGGGGACATTATATAAAACTTGTTGCTAAGCACTACGGAGTATTTCACAAATAAAGTACTTCTGAAATCAAAATATCCATGGGTGTCAGGCATATCTAGGATTATTTAACAGAAAAATGTTTTTGCTGGGATGCAAGACACTGGGTTTTTAAAATTGGTCAACTTTTCAAATAATTTCAACTCCAACCCAAATATGTTACCACAAGGCACTGGTTGTAGTGAAATTAAAAAGTAGGACTTTTTCAATTCACTGCTAAAAAATGTTTTTCCTGTCTTGAATTAACTTAAATGGAGAATTAAACAATATAGGACATTAATAAAGCCTCGAGTATAGAGAGTACTAACCTGTTAAAGTAACCCAACAATAATACAGTTCAAAATCAAGGATAGCAAGATGCAGAACTCTTAGAATGGCAACCAAATACCATTAGTTACTGAAAAAGACAAGGCCAAATGCAGTTGAACTGTATTACTTACTTGCTTACATTGATAATAGACTATTTTTAATTATTTATTGCAACAAATAAAAGTGGTTATATAATTGTTGATGAGAAATCCACTCTCTCAGCTATGTGATGTCTAAATAAGTGCACTGTCAAGCAATTCCAATTAAACATAATGGAGTTTTTTCAAAAGACCACCAAACTAAAAAAATGGGGTTTCCATCTACTGTTAAATACATGTATATCATGGAAAATCTGCCATCCACTTGAATGCATGGATTGTTTGAGGAATCAATGCAATAAGTTAGTCTTTCCATGCACTTTTGAATATGTATGCATCAGGGGAAAATCTGCTATCAACTTGAATGCAGATGTTTATGGAGGAGACTATATTTAATAGACTATTGAAAAATCAACTAATTAAGTGTTTATAGCTGTTATAAACCCACAAGCGAAAGAATTATAACTATAGGTATGAATTACAACAACAAAAGATAAATTCAAATGGGGTTCTATTACTTTTTTAAAATCCAGTTTGTTTTAATGGATTGAAACTAATCCATTCTTTGGATGAATGCAACCCATATTACAATGGATTGTAATATCCCACCATACATTGTTTACTTTTATAAAAACATACAAAAAACAAATAAAAAATTATTTATGGGCAGCTAAGAAAATACCAATAACATAACCCAAACATCCAATTGCATCCCTTATATGAAGAGGAACTACATCCCTGAATTGAAAATCCCAAATGCAAAAACGCTTAAAACCATGGTGACAAGTATATAATCAAGCACTTGGTGTTTTTAATCATGACGGTAAATGATAGATGATGGTAGGGAGAGAAAGACAACATTCTAAATAAACAAAATAGTTAACTTACCAAAAGTCCTAAACTTTCCCATTCGTCTTCCATCATTCATGCATGTGTTCTCAATGAAATACTTTTATGATTAATAATTCTTTAAAAAAACAATTCTTTTCATTAACCTATAACATTTAGATTCATCCTAATTAAATAAGTGGGGTGTGATATATTAGAATGGTTGTATAGAATGGTGTTATAAAACAGTTATTTAGTTATAGCTGCTTTTAAAAAAGTTTGGTTTTTTAACTGGAAGTAATCCTTATACACCATGATATATCTAACAAGCTTTCAAATAACTATAGATGTTTGATTTTTTTAGTGACATTGTGGTCCATAGCTCACAGACTAAGTCTCCTACTATGGATGAGGAGCAGGAGAAGCATTAATGCACACACTGACACACATATGCTCATTTAACTATCATGGATGGGAAATGGGTTATAACTATAATTGTGTCAAATATGAACATGCTTAAAACTGAAACCTGTTGAATCTCAATTTCCTCCCATGTTTATGTTTATGGGATGAAGATGAATCCTATGGAGTAAAATTAATGATAAAAATGATTGAAAAATAAAAACAGAGTATATTATATAAAAATCTAAAACAAATCACCCAAAACAAGTAAGAAAAGACAATATAACTGAGAGTAAATCCAATCAAGTTTGGACCTAATAATAGCACAAAAAACCAGGACAAAATTAATGACACTTACCCACAAAGGAATGAGTGAATGATCTTGAATGTAAAGATGGGAGAGAAACGAGGGCTTTGAGTGTACAATTATCTGTGTGTATAAGATAGGGATGGAATGAACACCGCAAGTCTGCTGATAAACTGAAAGAACATGCAACGGCCCAAATTTAAGGAGAACCGTAGAGAGTACATGCTTCAGCACTGAGGCTGACGACAGAAGAGTGGATGGAAGATGCGTTTCGGGTTCAAAACGGGGATGGGGATTGTGGAAGATGGGAGAGGGAGGGTATGAACATATAGACAGAAGCTTGACATAACGGAAAATGGGCGGAAATTTTGGACGGTCATCCAGGTGACTCTTTATATATGTAGGAGATATATGTAGGAGATTTGGGGTGTTTAAGAAGTATTTTAACTTTAAAATGTTAGTCAATAATATTTTTTAATCCAACAATTGAATTTTTTTTAATTCTTTTAAACTACAAAAAACTAGCAAATAGGGTTTCATAATAAGAAATATTATATAAAAATACAGTAATATAAATTATTATATTAATTTATATGTATTTTTGCACTTTATTTTCAAATATTTTGGTGTTCAGTCGAAGACCCTTGAACCAAAGGGACCCGCCTCTACTACAAAAGGAGTTAAGAGACTAAAGTTTAACAAAGATAGTTGCCTCAAAATCAACATAAACTACTTACAATAGCGCCCTGATGCATAATAATAAGGGAAAAGGGGCAAATAAGCCCTTGAACCAATCAAAAAAGTGCAAATAAGCCCTTTTATATGAGGTTTTTTCTAGCCGTCGCCATTTGAGGCGATTCCCAGTGGAATTTTTTGATGAAATGTTTTGAGCATCTTCTTCATTAAGTACGTCTAGTTTACCCATATCAAATTACAGCTAAAAGTTCAACTAGAAAGGCAGTCAAATAAATGTTTGAAGATAACTGAACAGTTAAACAGCGCAATATAATTCAGAAAATCATTTGGCTGCCTTCCTGATTAAATTTTTAGCGTAATTTGGTATGAGTAAACTAGACTTAGTGAAGAAGATGGTAAAAAAAATTCATAAAAAAATTCCACCTGGAACCGCCCCAAATGGCGACGGCCGGACAGAGCTTCCTATAAAAGGGCTTATTTTCACTTTTTTTTGTTAGTTCGAGAGATTATTTGCACCTTTTCCCTAATAATAACATTATGAAAATGAGCAGAGTGAAATAAATGTTATACTCCGTATTTGATATGTCATATATAAGGTGAATTTGGTGCAAATAGTGCTTCTCATGTGAAATTTGTATATATCCACTCCAACTAATTAATAGTGGACTTTAGCATGTAAAGTTACACACTCTTAATAACTTTTATAGAACATTTAAAACTTTCAAAATTCAATAGTTTTTTTTGGGAAAACTGTCAAATAGGTCCTCAAACTTTCATTAAAAGGTCAATTAAGTCCTTCTATAGGAGATTCTATCCGGTCGTCGCGATTTGGGGCAGTTCTCGGTGGAATTTTTTGATAAATTTTTTTGAGCATTTTATTCATCAAGTCTAGTTTACTCATACCAAATTTCAGCTAAAAATTCAATCGGGAACACATTCAAATTAATTCATGAACATAACTACGTATTTTTGCTTTCTCGAATTAATTTGAATGTGTTCCCGATCGAATTTTTAGCTGAAATTTGGTATGAGTAAACTAGACTTGATGAATAAGATGCTCAAAAAATTTTATCAAAAAATTCCACCGGGAACCGCCCCAAATCGTGACGACCAGACAGAATCTCCTATAGAACGACTTAATTGACTTTTTTATGAAAGTTCGAGGACCTATTTGACAGTTTTCCCATAGTTTTTTCAATATTATGAGAATATAGAAAATGACAAGGATGTCTTTACTTGGACTGTTTTTTGTCCCAGACCATATCAGATGAGACCGGAACGGATCAGATTTGACCAGACTTAGATGATTATAAAATACACAGGAATTAGATATTTACCAACTAGATAACTTTAAACCAGACTAGACCAGAGCAAACAAGACCAGATCAGACCTAAAAATTTTAGTCCAACTAAAAACATCCTAAAAGCCCATAACTTAAAATTGTTGTCTTTGGAATTTTGTTTCAAATGCTCCAACGTGCTTTAGTGACCCTACCCCCTAACCCCTACCACTTGCCCCAACCCCAAACCTGATCCCGACCCTGACCCCGACCCCATCCCACCTCCTTACTCCTACCCTACCCCGACCATACCCCTTACCCCACTTCCCATCCGTACCCCTTACCCTACCCCGACCCTATCCCTTTACCCCTACCACCTGCCCCTACATCGACCCCACCCCGACCCCGAACCCCACCCCTACCCCCCATGTTTTAAGTACCCACACATGGACATCTAGGTGTGAGTGTGTGACACTTTCTCGATTGAAAATTTTAATATAAATGAATTGAGATTTTTTGTTTGGTCGATGGGAATTGTGCAATACAATAACTATTTTGCACAAGAAAGTGTATGTAATTTTCTTTTAAAACCTATAAATGACAAGCAGCACATTAATTTTCATTCTTCACTACACCTATTATTGTGTGTACTATGGACCCTTTTCAACTTGTGCATATGAACAGAAAATAATCTTTAAAAAAAACAGAAAATAAAAATAAAAAAATATAGCAAATCATATACACATCAATTCTTTTGAACCCTCCTCATTTTTCAATAAAGTATGAGCACACATAAATTTTTATCTTAGAAAATGATATTAACAGATTTTCTAAATAATTCACACTCTATTAATATTTATCATTTTATTAATTCATATCAAAGTGATGCTACCGGGGCATGCCCCGGGTGTTACACTAGTGAGTTGTAAAAGAGTGAACACAATGGTGAAAATGTATTTCACGGATAATAGAAGGGTAAAATAGGTCATTTTGATCACCAACAGTATAATAATAAGGGAGTGTTTGCAACTGCTTCTGCTTAAAAAAAGCACTATTTGGAAAAAGTGATTTTTTTAAGTTGGTAGTGTTTGAGAAAAAAATGATTTGAAAAGTAAAAGTTGGTAGTAGTTGGTAAAATTAGTGTTTTTTGTGTAATAAAAAAGTAAAAATACTTTTAATACGAAAACCGAAAAAAAATAAAAGCCGATAATATTTGGTAAAATAAGTGTTTTTTTAAACAAAAAGCGGAGAAATGTTTTTTAAAGCAATTACAAACAACCCTAATACTCATGATAAACAGCCGTAATGGAGCCGCGTAGGGCAGGGGAGCTCGCCTAATCCACATTGGTGGAGACTGCAGAGAGGGGCTATCATTAGGGATGGCAATGGGGCGGGTTTGGGGCGGGGGTACACTCCCCCATCCCCGCCCCATGTCTAAAAAGTTCCCCCCATCCCCGCCCCATCCCCGTTACTCCCATCCCCGCCCCATCCCCGCCCCACCCTGTTGTCCCCCCACGGGTGCCCACGGGTGTCCCCATATAGATTTAATTTATCGTATTTGCATATACTTTTAATCTCTTATTATAAATATGATACACAACAGAGCCATTCTAGTGCACATTTGGACTTGCTCAATACAAGCTAATATAAATAATCACAGTGCCACTTTTGAAAAAATCATGCTAGATACGAAAAAGTTCATTGTGCAAGCCCATTGTGTTTCACATTGGGTGTAAATGTGGTGTTCACACGTTCTCACGTTAAGCGTTGTTCTCATTTGATCCTAAACCTATATATACCTACGCGCACACAGTAATATATGATACACACGCACACACAACACTGCAGTATTGTGTTTGTTAAAAATTAATACCACCAATTTTAATAATTCTTCATTTTGAATAAGTTTTGTGAATTGAAGACAATTAAAGTAAAAATATAGGTAACATATTATCATCATGTACGTTGTTTCAAAATTCTCAACACTTATTATACAATTAATGACATATTATATTACATATAAATGTGTGTGTATTTATTTACTCACTTTTCACTCTTAAAACTCATATAACATTTATGACAAATATTTTTAATATTACTAGCTAGCTTATTATTATTCTAGTATAATATGTATTAATTCATTAATCATGATTAAACCGTATACAATTATGTATGTCTATATATATATATATATGCGTTTGTTATATACTACATATAATTTAATTTAATATGTGTGTACATTATTTTTATATGTGTGGATATATATGTTTAAGTGTATATTTATAACGGGGACGGGGCGGGGACGGGGCGGGTGTAGCAATACTCATCCCCGCCCCATATTTTAACGGCGTAAAAATATTTCACCCATTCCCGTCCCCACCCTGCCCAAGCCCCGCCCCAACCTTCCCCGCGGCGCGGTTTCCCACGGGTCCCAGCCCCATTGCCATCCTTAGCTATCATCCAAATGCGCGTGTGTGTGAGAGAGACATCTACCTCCCAACCTGAATTCACAGTGAAGAACAATGGCAGGCATTCCTCATTACTTGAATCCCCCGACAGATTGGTGGTATAAAGATTTCAGGTTTATCAGGGATTGGTTCTGGTCCGTGGAAAACTGTCTTCCAGACAGACCTCTTCCCGACAGTATTAACTTTGTCGAAGAAGACCTCTTCCCAAATAGGTTGAAGAATATATACGAGATAGTTCCGGATTCGCTCAGCAGTACGTTAATAAACTCATAAGTTTCTTCATTTTCCCCAACCCTAATAGACTGAATAAGTTGCTGCTGCTGCACTTGTTGTTTTGATCCCAGTTTACTTTCTGATGATTTAGTTATTGCTATCGGTTTGCAGCGGAATATGGGCCGGACCGTGAATATTTCATGTATTCTCTTTGGGGCAGGAAATACGACGACGAGGCAAGGATAGAAAGCGCGGATGGATCAGGGGTGTGGGAGCGAGTACAACAGCCGGAGGAAGGCATGGTCGAAGCAGAAGGCTGTATTATTGGAGTCAGTAAGACTTTCAAGTACTACAATAATGGCCGTGAAACTAGCTTCCTGATGGATGTACTCAGACCCTTTGATCCACGTCAAAGGGTGCTCTTTACTCTATCCCCTATTTCTCTGTTTTCATTATATATCTGTGTTCAGTTGTGTTTACTGCCATTGCCCTTTCCTTAATTGCCTTCATTCATTATCATGCAATTGCAGTTGGGCGATTGGGTTTTGTGCAAGGTATACCGCTCAGACTGCCCGCCCAACGACCAGTACACACAGGCCGAACAAAGTGCTCCTGAATTCGCTGCCAAAGAAGTAGCATCTCCTAGACCAGAACATGATGCTGGGAGGAAGAGGAAGAGGGAGGAAGAAGCAGAAGAATTGAATGGGCATGCACGTATGTACATCTGTCTTTTTGAGAGCATTCTACTAAACCATAGTATCTGTCCACAGCATGATAGTTAGCATTGTTGAAGTTTTTTAAATTTAATGCTTCTTTACAGTATTGTTTTCTTTCAAAGATCCACCATCTCAATCACCCTATGCTTAACGGTAGGATCATCTTAAATGGCCTTCCATTAAATGTTAAGAATTTGTTGAGTTCCCATTAATTGTCTTGTGGTTGTATAATAACAACCTCAAAATACATCTGCAAATGCTTTTGAAGCTTGGGGTTCCATGATTTCGACAAGCATTTTTTGCTTCATCTACCAATGCTTTTTTGACCTTTGTTTCTCCTTACTGGGGGCAAAACAACTTGATATTTTCTGTGTTTGCTGGGGTAGTTTCTTTCTACACTGTTATTTTTGTTTCCATTTGGAAAGATTATGTTGATTCAGTTCTGTAGAATGTATTTGTTGGACTCATCCTTTTTTTATTGCTTCTTGTTTTGTAAGGCATTCTATAATGGGAGTTCATCGAGCAGCGATCTGTGTGGTGTTACAGGATGCACAACATATTTTGGGAAGATCTTTTTGATCCACATGACCGTGTGTATGGCCTAAATTAACTGAAAATACTGTGCTAGTTTTGCCTATTTGACTTATAAATAAATGTTACAAATGAGGTAATGTTTTCTGATTTGACATAAGATCCTACATTCGGACGCCTGCATTCCTTGTTCTAATTGGTTATGCTATCTATGTTTACCATAAATAATCGTGTGGGTACTGGAATTGTGATGTTTATCATGTATGTTTCAAACGATGCTTTTATTCACAATTATAATTTGTGACTGGGATCATCTATGCAATGTGACAGTCATAATTTGTGGTAGTAAGTAACTCAGCGAGATTCTCGCTATTGGTGGCCGACTAAAAATGGGATTTTTACGGTAAAGACCGCCTACTGGTTAGGTGTTCTAGGACCTGTGGGAATGAAAAGAGAGCCAATAGAGTCGATCTGGAAGAATTTTTGGGACCTCAATATCCCCCCAAAGTTGAAACACTTCCTTTGGCGACTCGTTTCTGGATGCTTGGCAACGAAGGAGCACTTATGGAGGAGGAAAGCCACTGATGACCCAACATGCCCAGTGTGTGCAGGTATGACTGAGGATATTAGTCATATGTTATTTTTTTGTAAATTCTCTTCGCAGCTTTGGAAGAATGAAATCTGGGGAAATTTGGTCATGGTGGCACCGACTATGTCTGCAAAAGAACTATTGGGTTGGGCTATGAAGAATTTGAGTCAAGGGATCTATAGCTTCATAATTAATTGTTGGGCTGCGTGGCGCTGTCGAAACAAGGTGGTTTTTGAGCAAAAAGAACCACAAGTAGAGCTGATCCGGATGGGTTTCAATCAATATATCGAAGATTTTCAAACATATGCTTCAAAAGTTTACAAAGGGCCAGAATCATATTTGAATAATAGACCCGAGAAGTGGAATAAACCATCTTCTGGTTTCGTTAAAGCGAACTGTGATGCAGCTGTGTTCAAAGGAGGAGGTCTGGGTCTTGGAGCGATAATCCGAGATGAACATGATGCCCTAGTCATGGCAGGAGTCAAAAGAATGGACATGAACTGGGAGGCGGAGATGGCAGAACACGCAGCGGGAGTATATGCACTACAAGTTGCATACCAGGTGGGAGCGAGGAAAGTTATTCTTGATAGTGAGTTAGTGACGCATTAAACTTCATCTTGATAGGAGCATAGGCATATCCTTGCCTATGCTCCTTGCTGTGGAAGAAGAGTTGATGAAGGTTTCAATCATGAAGCTCAGGATTCAAAAATCAGGGAGGTATTGGGAAGGGAAAGGCGCAAGGATGAAGCTGTTGGTCATCCTTGTTGACTGTTTGATGGTACTTCATTAGGAATTTTTTTGGAAGATATTTATCATTTTTGTTCTAAGTTTGATGTTGAATTTTCACATGTAAAAAGAGGAGGCAATGTAGCTGCTCATCAAATGGCAAGAATGATGCCAGACAATGGTGTAGAACAAACATTTGTAAATGATCTACCAGAAAGTATTATTACGCTAATTGAAATGAATTAATATGAGTTTCCTTTCAAAAAAAAAAAGTAACTCAGCAAGAGCTCCATAAACAGACTATTACTTGGCATTGCTGGCAATGTTCACCCTTTCGTATATTCCAAGTAATAAAAAATTCCCTTATTTGCCCAATGAGAATAAGTTCGCTTTATGGGCAGCGGAATATTCGTAAGCAAGCTACAAATCATATCAAATTATCCAATTTTGTGTCTTTCTTTATACGAAGTATTTGTTTCTCCTGGTGCACCTGGATTCTCTTGCTTTTCTTTATGGGCTTTCTTTGTGCGGAAATCCTCTCCTTAATAGCACTACAACTCTGGAAAAGAAGTTCCCGCTCACTCAAATGACAAAATTGGGTGTTTTTGAATACTTGATGGGTTTGATTGGGTGTTTCCAAAGTATAAGGGTTTAATTGCTGTTTTGTATAAAGAGAGTGTATTTGATAGTTTTCCCATTTTACTTTTACTTCCTTTCTCCAGCCTGTCCATCTTCCGGTCTTCCACACTTATTTAGGCAATTCCCCCTTTTATTAGTTATTTACCCTTCTCGCCATTCCCCCTTTTATTAATTATTTACTCTTCTGGCCATTCCCCCTTTTATTAATTATATTTACCCTTCTGGCCATTCCCCCTTTTATTAATTATTTAACCTTCTCCCTCTGGAGTCTGGACCACCGGATGTAAACTCTAGAGAAATCTATATCGGGATTAATTTCTAAAGGACCCGCACTCTCATCATTACCCCGCCTTCTGACCAACAGCTTCATCCTTGCGCCTTTCCCTTCCCAATACCTCCCTGATTTTTGAATCCTGAGCTTCATGATTGAAACCTTCATCAACTCTTCTTCCACAGCAAGGAGCATAGGCAAGGATATTGTTGCATAATGCTTCACTATGAAGTATGACTTGGCTAGCCCCAAGCAGGGACGGAGCCAGAACTCAATCATAAGGGGGGCCAAGAACAAACCCAAACACTAAAGAAAAAAAATCTCTAAATAGGACAAAAAAAAAGTTTATAAACAGGATTATTATTGTTTTAATCTCAAAATAGGACTTATTGACTCCTATTTTGGCAAACTTTAATCAAATAATTTTTAATAGAACTAAATAAGATCTATTCAAGGAGTAAAACATATTTTTTCATATTTTTAATGAGGAATGATCCTTTCAGAATTACATGACGGGATCCACCATCCGGATGTCTGTGTTAGATGTGCTTCCGGATGGATTATTTTGGGTGAAATTTTATGACAATATTCTTCATGATGTGTAGATTATTTACACCTAATTTCAGTTTAAAGTTCAATCGACAAATCGGTTAAATAAATTATTGAAAAAACACTGCACCAAAAAATAAAATAAAAAAACGCAGTGTTTTTCCATAATTTATTTAATTGACTCTCCAATTGCATGTAAGCTGAAATACAATGGATATAATATACACTTTATGAAATACATGTTCACAAAAATTCATCAAAAAATTCTACTCGAAAACATCTCACATAAAAGCTTCTATCGAGTAGTTTTGACCCAATCTTTACTGATTATTTCATTTATAATAGTAGTATTACTAAAAAATAAAAAAGTTGGGAGGGGCCATGGCCCCCCTACCCATACACATACATCCGTCCCTGGCCCCAAGTGCAGCAACCCGTACAAAATCATTCTCATCGGCCAGTCCATCTATTATTGCAGGATAGTAACTTGCATAGTCCCATACTCCAGAACTTATTAGCATAATCTTGCAATTTGCTTTGAATGTACTTAGTAGTATCAAACCCCATCGTCACTCGTGTCCTATCCTTCGATTCATACTGTTTCATCCCGTTGAGATTTGCAGCTAGGCGTTTTGCACTTCTGAGCCAGTTTGGCAATAACAAACCATCATCCCCAGCATCATATAAGTCTGAGAGTAGGTCTGGACTCGGGCCGGACGGCCCGAACCGGAACCGGCCCGGCCCGGTCATTGTTTGAATCGGCCCGGCCCGGCGGCCCGGCCCATGGGCGGTTCGGGTCAAACCGGCCCGGTGGCTACCGGTTCTGGGCTAGGGCCCTCATTTTGGTGAACCGACGCGGCCGGTTCGGGCTGAATTTAAATTTTTTTTTTTTTGATTTTTTTTAAAGTTTTTGGGTTGGGCTGAGTATTTTGGGCCATTTGAGATGGTTTGGGGTGGTTGCGGGTTAAATAGGAGAAGCCAAAAAAGAAAAAAAAAAATAATAAAGACCGGGTGGCCCGGCCCGGAACCGGTGCCCACCGGTTCGGGCTCGGGCCTAGGATTTCTGAACCGAGGCCCGGCCGGGCCAAGCCCGAACCGGGCCCAAACCGGCCCGAGGCCACCCCTATCTGAGAGTGCAACCCCCATGCTCTACAGTATGGATATTGCTGCTTCACCCACCTGGGGTGGAGTGAGAATGTTAGAACTAAACACCAGAACAGAGAAATTCTCAGAGATATATCAAGAAACATCTGCAAGCTTTATTGAATAGAGAACAGTAACAATGGCTGAAGCCCCAAAATAGAGAGCTAGTAAATCTCTAACTTCCCAATCCGAAAGACAGAAGTCCAATTATAGCCTACTTGACCCCTCCCAACCTCTTCTATATAGACTAATCTAGTACACTTACGACCTGTTTGGATTGAGTGTTGGGGAGTGTTAGTAATGGAAGTGTTTAGAAGTGTTATCATTAACACTTGTTTGGGTGAGAAATTAAGAAGTGTTAGAGAGTGTTAGTAAGTGTTAATAATGACCTCTCCAACACCTCAATTGTCCACTTTTTCAACACTATAATTTGGAGTGTATTGAAGTGTTAGACAATTGATGCCCTTCTATTCTGCCGCAGGACCTCTCCTCTCTACTCTACCTTCGTCTCATCCAACCATCCAGGCTCTCTCATAAAACTCTTTCTTTGCCTTCGTTTCATCCATATGAGCTCTGTCATCATTAAAATACAGAGTAATCGTGGGTAAGAACGTAAGCCAAACTATTACTCTGCAATTTTAGTGTCGTAATTGTGGATCTGGATTTTGCAATTGATTATTACTCCCCGGAAAAAGTTTTCAAACGAGAAAAAGAATACATGTGTAGTAGCAGTATATATCATCATGATATCATCTCTACAGACTACAGGTGTTCCGTAGGAACTCTTGAAAAGTTGGGTATATTTAATAATTTTTAAAAGATAAGGTTACTTTTGTCAATTTAAGTTATAACACTTTCATTACTAGCACTTCATTTTTTTAACTCTTCCAAACAAGGTAAGATTATGTTTAACACTTACACTTACCTTCCCTTTCGGGCCTCTGCTAACACTTACTAACACTTCCTAACACTTCCATTACTAACACTTCCAAACACTCCATCCAAACAGGCCGTCATTATCATCATCATCATCATCATCATCACCACCACCACCACCACCACCACCACCATCACCATCATTATTATTATTACTAGTTTTCCGACGCGCGATCGAAAAATGCCCAATGCTATTTCAACAAAATCAACATAATGAAATGTTATTTATTGATTGTTTAATTTGAAATGACTCAAAAATTTATGCATAATAATTTTTCATGATTAGAATGGTTAAAAGTACGGGTCTCATGAATACCAGTAATGATTTATTTTAGGTACTCCCTCCGTCCCCGAAAGAAGTTTACCATTTGACTTTCACACACTTTTATATAAGTAAACGTACCGGGGGGTAAATTTTACTATTTTGACACTGTTTGTCACTGTTTGACACTGTTTTGCACTGTTTGGCATGTTTTGATGTAGATAACTTTCCATTTAAGGAAACAAGAACTTAAATTAGTGACATCCAAATAAGGAAAGTGAGAACTTCTTTCGGAGACGGAGAGAGTATATGTTTTATAGCAGCAATATGAATAGCCTCTTAACAAAACATGTTAGAATATTAGGATGTTTTTACTTAAAATATTGGAACATGAATAATCTCTTGTGGTTTCAGTCTCCAATAAGATCAAACTTTGACATTTATAAAATATACATACACCAGACATCTACGGTCTGCACGGACGACGCCACATATGTAGCCATGGTGTCAATTGACACCACTCAAATATTTTTTGTAATTATATATGTAAGGATATATTTTCTAAAAATTAACTTGACACCACATTTATGAACGAAATGGAGGTCAAAGTATAAATTTATATGATATAATTACATATTTATAAAAATGTCATCTTGTGTTAAAAAAAGCCACATTTATTTGAAAATGTCATAAAGATGATATTTTACGCTTTGAAAATATCCAGTTTTCTTTTCAAAATTGACATCACGATGACATTTTTTCTCAACTTAATTGGCAATTTTTTCTGGCGACTGGGGTGGTAGTGCCAGAAGGTGGTTGAGGTGGTGATTGAGGTCTGTATATTTTTAATTTTTTTACAATTCTTTTATTTAAATTTTTTCTTTATGCTTTGTAATGATTATTTAAAAAATCCTATTAGAAAGGACATGGGAAAGGGTAGAATAGGAAGCGTTAGTCTTATTTTGGGAATTTAAATATTAAACTCCTATTGTTGTAATTATCCTTTTTATTTAGTTGATTTAGGGAACACATGATCTGTGTCCTCAATCTCATCGCCACACACTTTACACCCTCCAAGAACCTGCACTCCTCTTTGCCTCAGATTATCCACGGTAGGGAGAGAGCCGTCAATAAACCTGCCAAGCAAAATATTTAAGCTTCGGTGAGATATGCATATCCCATAATCGAGCCCAGTTAGTTCTGTCCGCTGTCTTCAATTCCCCTATAAGCAAGCGGTAACAAACTCTTAACAGAAAACCTCCCATTAATCTCCCCATTCCACCAGTACTCATCCTTCCACCAGTACACAAATGTTCCTGTCAGGTATATCTGAACGGAGCCGCCGTCCGAACACCACGTTTGGAGGGTCTTTCCGGTGGAATTTTTTAATGAATATTTTTTAGCATGTTTTTCATCAAGTCTAGTATATCCATACCAAATTTCAAAAAAAATTCAAT